AAGGCATCAAACCTACACTGTCCGACTGTCAAGTTGAATAAAATGAACACTGACCAGTGGCGTATCCAGGGGGGAGGCCAAGAGGCCATGGCCTCCCCCTTTGGGATCAGACATGCAAGTGGGCCCTTTGGGTCACTTGAGTGCAGTGACGTACCCAAGGGGGGCCACGGGGGCCCCTGAGGTCCAAGGATGACTCAGGGGGACCAGCGTGACGAAGGCGTTCTGGGTCTCCATGCCTTAATTCCAGCAGTACTAGACAGAACGTCTTTTACTCGGAAGAAAAACTGATATCAAAGCTGCGATATCTATCACAGTGACGAACACAGAGCGCCTTTAACTAACTGAGAGCCCCTGGCTACCTGAGGGGCCCCCTGGTTACCTGAGGGTCCCCCTGGTCACCTGAGGAGCCCCTGGTTATCTGACGAGCCCCTAGCTACCTGAGGGGCCCCTGGTTATCTGAGGGGCCCCTGGTTGTCTGAGAGGTTCCTGGTTGTCTAAGGGACCCCCTGGCTACCCGAGGGGTCCCTGGTCACCTGAGGGGCCCCTGGTTAGGTAGCTGAGGGCCCTGGTTACCTGAGGGCCCCTGGTCACGGGACCCTGTTTGCCTGAGGGGCACCTGGCTACCTGAGGGACCCCTGGTTATCTGAAGGACTCCTGGTAAAGAACCCCTGGTTACGAGGGCCCCTGGTTACCCGAGGGGCCTCTGGTTACCTGAGGGGCTCCTGGTTATCTGAGGGGCCCCTAGTTACCCAAGGGGCCCCTGATCCCCTGGATGGCCCCTGCCCAGTCATCTAAAAAAGCCCTGGTCACCTGAGGGGCCCATGTTTACCCGGGGAGTACCTGGTTATCTGAAGGGCCTCTGCAGTCACATGAAGGCCCTTAGTTTCCCGAGGAGCCCCTGGTATAACCGGCACCTGATTTTCAAAGGGTCCCCTGGTCACGGTAACCTGGTGGGCCCCTGATCAATTGAAAAGCAACTGCAGTCACCTCTCAAGTGACTGCAGGGGGTCCCCTGATTACCTAAAGGGCCCCTAATCACTTGGATTCAATGGCATAGCCAGGTGGCGAGGAGATACGTGTTCGTTATATGGTTTAGGGTCCCCTCGGGCCCGAGGGGCCCTACGGTGCCAATTGACATCAGAGGGTCCGCGCTGGCCACGGTTCAACTGGAAAGGAGTGAAAGGACACCACGGGGCTTTTGAGAACACGTCATGGGCTATTATGTAGCCACACTTATCTCCAGAAGGGCCCCACCCCAGGTTCTGAAGGACCTTGCCGGCCTCTGAGGGTCCTTGAAGGCTAATGAGGGATCAGCTGTAAGGGCCCCACACCTGTTTGTTATGCCCCCACGGCCCACACCAGTGTTTCTGAGGGCCTTCACAATGGCGCCTGGGAGGGCCCTCACCGCCACCTCTAAGGTCCCCACACCAGTGCCTCTTAACCCGCGCCCCACTGGGGTCTGTGTATAACACGCCCTACTGGGGGGGGGGGGGGCTATTCATAGCCCCCCCTCCTAACTCCGAAACTACTGGGCCGATCGTCAAAATTCAAACGGCGTCTGATAGCCCCGGAAAAACTGTCGAAGGAAACCTAATTTCATTGACCTCGAGGTCACCGATGACGTCACAGGTCAGGTCAAAGTAAAAATTATTAGCATTTTGGCTTGTTCACATTTTGGGCTCTGGCCGCCGTCTTACAAGTCAGATCAGGCTCATTTTTGGCTTCCACACTCGTGAACAGATGCTCTAGATACCTTGAGGGTACCAAACTTGTACTTTGATTTTCAGGTCAGGGTCAGGTCATCACAGGTCACGGAAATATTATATCATGCGTCGGTCACGTGACACATGTTTTATGGTCCATTTAGGCCATAGATTTCGAATTTGATGTCGTCTGTGTCATTTGAGGTCATTTTGAGTCGAATTTAGCTTAGGTCAGGTCACTTTCAGGTCAAAAAAGGTCAAATTTTGAAGTTAAAAATTTTCAACAAAAAAGGTGTCTATTGGATGCATTTTGAGCTCAGGAACACGATGGTGCCATTTATATTGGTGTACGATGTCAAATACGTACTGAAATATTGATTTGAAAAATTAATAATTGTGAATTTTTTGCAATAATGCGCATAACTTGGCCATTTTTGCAGATATTTAGCTAAAACTTGCTAGAGTTAGTCATAATCATGCGTTCTGTCACATATATTCCGTTTTTTTTCGAAAAGTCAAAAACTTTTTGAAAAAAAATATAAAAATATAAATTTTGAATATTATTATATAAAATTTTCGAAATTTTCAAAACTTTGAAAATCCGAGATAGCAGTTTGATAGCGCAGTCAATTCTGAGTCCTTTCATGCAAAGAAATTGGATCTAGCTTAAAAACTGAGCTCTTGGGAGCGATTGCTGTGGTTCAATGTTTTGCGTCGAAATCGGACGAAAATGACGTCACTCTGACGTCATTTCCGGCCGACCTATGGTAGCTACGAAGTTCAAATTTTGACACAAGGTGTCAAATTGATGCAGCCGAAGGTACTGAAAGTTTGGCGTTGATCCGTCAAGCGGTTTGGAAGTTATTGCAGAAAAACGGGAGGGGGGGGCTATAAATAGCCCCCCCCCCAGTGGGGCGCGGGTTAACGGCCTACATCGGCGGCTCTGAAGGCCCGCTCACCGGCGCCTCCGAGGGCCCTATACCAGCGCATCTAACGGCCATTTACCGACGACTCTGAGGGCCTCTTACCGGCATCTGAGGTTGCCTTGCCGGCCTATGAAGGGCCACTAGTAACTTTCAGGGCCCCATACATGCCTATGACGGCCCCTACCAGCATCTCTAAGCCCTAAGACCCCCACAACGGCGCCTGTGTGGACCCCACACCAGCGCATTTGACGGCCTTTCACAGACACGTCTGAGGGACCAACATCGGCGACTCTGAGGGGCTCGCTCGCTTCGCTTCTTGATAAAAACCCGTGCATTTTATGCACATTTCTCAGGCAAAATGATACTTTTATCTGCCAATTTTCCACATTTTCTCAGGGCTTACACAGACAGACAGGGACAGGCAGGCAGACAGTGAGACAGACAGACAGACAGAGGGGCCCGTCCGCAAGGGGGACCGGACCCACTGTGCCCAATTCCCCCCCCCCCCATCGAAATGTTCTGGATACGTCCCTGCCTGGGTTGACAGTGGCCCCCCAGGTAACCCAGGTTGTCCCCTCCTGGACGAAATCCTGGGTACGTGCATGCTTGGGTGTCCCAAGAGAAGCGACATTCAGGGCCTTATCCGAAGTACTGGCCCAAACTTAAATAAAGTCATTACATCAGTAAGTCATTGAATAAAGTCAACTACGTCAAACTATCTTAAATTTGCCGTTTGATGGCCCTCAGAAGTCAGAGGCCGGCGTAGGGCCCTCATAGGCCGTCTCAGGGCCCTCAGAGGCTGAGGCCGAGCCCCAGAGGCTAGCGTGGGGCCCTCAGAGGCCGCTTCGGCGGTCCTACAGAAGCTTAGACTTGGGCGTGGGACCCTTTGACACTGGCGTGGAAGTTCGAACCCTAAGGAGCCAGCGTGCAGCCCTCTATGGCCAGCCGTGGAGCCCTCTAAGGCCAGCGTGAGGCCCTCTAAGTCCATTGTGGGGCTTTCTAAAGACAGTGGGGCCTTCTAAGGCCAGTGTGAGACCCTCATGTTCAGTGTGGGGCTGTCTATGTCCAGCTTGGGGTCTTCTTAGCCCAGCGGCGTGGGGCCTTCTGAAGTCAGTTTGAGGCCCACTGGCCACTGAGACCAGCTTGGGGCCCTCTGAAGACAATGTGGAGCCCTCTGAGGCCAGTGTGAGGCCCTCTGTGACCAGCGTGAACCCAGCGTGGGGCCAGCTGTCATCTGACTTCAGACGCTGGTGCTGGGCCCTCAGAAACCAGCACGGGGCCTTCATAGGCTGGCGTCGGGCCATTAGAGGCCACTTCGAGGGCCTCGGCAGCCATACTTCAGATCTTATGCATGTTTGAGCCCCCTGAGGTAGGAGTGGCCCTTAGAAGCCGGCGCGGAACCCTCTGAGGGTAGCATGGGCTTCTAGAGACCGGCGTGGGTTCGAGAGCGGCATAGGGCCATCAGACTGACTCAAAGGCTACAAAGAGCCAGCGTGGAGCCCTGGGAGGTCAGCATGGGTCTCCTGAGGCGATTAAAGGGGCTTCTGAGGCCAGAGTCGTTCACTCTGTTGCCGAAGAGGGGCTTTCAGAGGCCAGAATGAGCCTTCAGAGTTTTTAGATTGCCAAGTGTGCCTAAAAAGGCTCCCTCACATGGCGAAAGTGGCAAAGAACCGCACCTGTGCGTGGTTTAAGTATGCTACCGCTGGGGCCCCTAAGGTAAGGGTGGGGCCCCTTGAGCAGGTTTGGCCTCCCCCTTCTCAAGATCCTGGATACGCCACTGACACTGACTCAATTCCTGTCGTTGCAAATGTAACATTTTGCCTAACACAGACATTCCAAAGCTCCTCAATGATTTATTTGAAAAGCAACAAAGTCCTGCAAATCAGCTTAAGTTGGTGGGGCAAAACACTTATTGGTGGGGCATAATGGCAAGTTGGTGGGAGTGGGACAGCCGCCCCACCAACTGTACAGGAAGCTCCGCCCCTGGTGGAGAGGTGTGAGATGAAGGATACGATCAACGCAGCTAACACCGACAGTGTTTAAACCTTCGACTAAGTTAGTCACTATCTACGTCATCGAAGCCCTGATCACGTCATTTTGCGGCCAAAAATACTCCGATTAGCCACCGAGTCAACACCACACCTCACTGGCCTCATCAGCCGGCTCGTTACCTCAGCGAAGTGCACCACCCACGGCTCCCTATATCCATCCCTCCCCACCGGGCCGCTCCCCGGCCCTGTGTATGTGTGTACCTACGGTGCAGCGTCAGCCGACTGCTGCCGGTGCAGCTGGCGGAGCGCCGCGCCTGCGCTCGCCGCTCCGAGCACCCCCGAAATAGCGGCCACGCGCTGCCGGCTCCGCTCCGACCGGCGCACATGAGCCGTGAGAGCCGGACCTGAGAGCGGCGCTCCGAGCGCCGGCACACCGCGGCACGGAGGACGCCGCCGGACACCGCGCAGGGGTGAGTACCGGACCGGGCGCCGGACACACCACGACAGCTGAGCGGTGAGTAGTTAGGTAGTACCCGACCGGGCGCCGGATAGATTGCGAAAACGGGTGGCACATGCTGGACCAGAGGCACATATGCTGACAAAGCAAAGCAATGTGGAAAACACGGGCGTGCCTACCAGCCACTGTCCGCTCTTTGTGTGGTCAGTGTTTTCACGCTACCGTCAGTATCTGCTTCAAATGAAAATCTTACTTAGAGCTTGTTCGGCCCTTCATTGTGGTGCCTATCCTAGGAATAAAGGATCTCGTGACATGTTCATCAGGAATGGAGCACCACTGTCCACTTGTTCACCTTCCAGAGAAAGCCTTTGAGTAGAAATTGAAATATTGCCTATAGTTCAAGCAACAATAAGCACGTCCTTCCAGAGTCCATTTTTTTGTTGTTTACAAATGGTCATGCCTACCATCCGTATATGTATTTATTTTGATCTTAACATTACAGGGAGGAATTTAGGTGATACAATTTCACCGTATCCTTGCAATTGAACATTAAAACGGCTACAGAAGAAACAATTTCCTCATCGATGGAAGATTCTCAGCGATGCGTGTGAGTATGCAACACACGCATATGACGTAAATAAACTATTTAGAGCGTAATGAGAAATAGGTACAATCTAAATGAGATAATGAGAAACTATAAAGCGACACATGAGCAACAGTCGGCACACCGAATTAAACGTAAATTTACCGTTTTGCCATTGTTGAACGAACTGACGGTGCCGTGACGTTGGTCCGGTTTCCTGTACCGTGTAAGCAGGGAACTGCTCTGGACTGCCAAGACAGAGCAGGCCTATTTACAAGTGCTGGCGGATGAAACCCACAAACAACTGAGAATCAGGGATGACGTCATCAACACTCAGGAAGATAAACTGCAACAGGTGAGCGCTTCACAGAACTGGGTTTACCAGGTAGCAGACCACCGCCGCCTCCTTCTCAAAGCCAACCATAACACAGAGTGCCCGCGCTAAGTGCGAACTAACAGTGGACTTAAATATACACACTAGGTATCTTCTCTGATACAGTGTCTAGCGTTTGCTTTTACACAATACGGACCTTCGCTGAGTACTCACAAACCAATAAAAGCTACTTTCACTAACACGACTAGAAATATGTAAATGTGCCCTTGAGCATAAACCGTGTGCGATGAAACATTTTACTCTAACCTATAGTTCGTTTTTTCTAAGTTCGACCCTCAATGTAAACGTCTCTTTGAACAAATCTGCTTGCCGAATTACTGAGAAAACTGTTCGGCGCACATTGATTTCACAGACGATCAACGTTTATCAATATTATTTTTACCTGTCTCCTATTTTCCAGACTCTCAGCTCGTATTTACCTATATTTACAACTCCACAAGTATATACGACTTAACAGGAGTTATAATTGAACTAATTTATACATCGCTCGGCGTTTTACATAACGGTACATCATCGGTGTTCAAAAATTATTTGGAAAATATTATTGATATCTCTAATACGCTGTGCGCTAACTAGTTTTCTCATTCTTGTGCTGTGTTCAGATTTCAGAAAGATGTTTACAGTGAGGGTCGAACTTATATATAGCACAACAGCATGATACCGCATTATGCACTGAAATGAAATAATCATTTGTTAAAACATTTTGTTTTCAATTTTCATAATGGTGAATAAAAACATGTACATAGGTAGGTAAAGACCATTATCGAGAGCTCTTGAGTGCTTCAACTGGCTTCAACCATGTTGTTCCAGCTTGGTTGAAGTGTGGATAAAATTTTATTGGCCGCCATCTCACAGCACAGTGATGGTTGTTTAAACTGCTAAAGTTGATTGCTTATGCATGGTTAGGTGGACTGTTAAAGCGAAGGCAACAATGAGCGGCTTTGTACCTAATTAGCACTACTCCAGCTAAATAGACCCTTAAACTTCATCGAATTTCATTGAACAAACGAGCGATAGGGTATCACACTCGCAGAACACTCGCATTATACCTACTTGAAAGTTAAACATTGGCATCAACATCAATGGTGATGGAACGCCCGGTGTTTCCTTCCATCCCGGGTGTGCCTGACCGCAATACTTGGAGGCCATGCGGCACAGCATACCTTCCCGGGTGCACTTGTGCTGACATCTATGAGTGGATACCTGAAACGAGCCGATCCGCTCTGATGTCGGCCTCGTGACCGTTTTCAGGCGACGTTTCTTTGGAAACTTTTTCTTAGCCAGCACAAGAAGGAGACCTCAGACTCAGAAAGAAGACTAATTAATACAATGTAGATGTAGGCTAGGTCAGGTATCCTTGTCTGTTCCATTATGATTTTACCTACGCATAAAAATACATATAGGGGCTATCTGTAGATATACCGGTTTTGAGCGAAATCATTACTCGAATTTGAATCCGAATACGAATACGACGCTAACTTTATGGACATTTAGACACGGCGACAGGCAATGTAGTCAATGCACGGAAGCAGTGCGAAGTGCGTCCCAGCAAACAGACCCGTCTGGTCGCACTGCGTCACCAGTCACCACCAATCCGCTGTCCTTCGTCCCGTCTCTCAGTTTCGCCGATCATCGCGTCTTTGTCCCTTCGACCAGCTCCGTTCAATCCGTGCGATCCCGCGGCTCTCTTTGTCGACGGCGGCCGCTGCGCAACGCCCTCACGTGCGGTCCCCAGCTGCCAAACTGGCTTTTTGGAGCGCCCCGCTGCCTCTGCGGGGCTGTCTCACTACGTAAAATCCGCCGGTGCCGATTCTGAGCGTCATTCCCGGGTACTAGAGCCGACGCCACGCACGGCGCACGCGGCCAGTCGCCGCCCAGAGGCCTGTTTGAGTTGGCTGGAGGGAGACGGCCCGTGAGCAGGGCAGCAGGCTGTCTGCAGGGCCGCTCAGGGTCAGGACGTGAGGAGAGGGGGGAGGGGTGAAGGACGGACATTGGCCGCCTGGAAATGACTGGTCCACTCTGCCAACTCCCGGCGGCGCTAGTCGTTAAGTCCAGCTGGTTATGCTTGATGATGCTATCCGAGGCCTTTTGATCTAATCTTGCTGTTTATTTACCAGTATAACGCCTTTTGGGGCGACTAACGGAGCGAGCGAGAGGGTGAGCCTTGCACGTGCGAAATTTCGAGGGGGTACCTCCCGCTGACTTGTGCACGGCACCCTACTAACCGGTCTCTAGCGATGTGCCAAATTTGAGCACAATCGGCCCAGCCGTTCTCGAGATCTGGGAGCGACACCCTGCACGTGCGCACGTGCAAAATGGGTCCCAACTGACTTTTGCACGGCACCCTACTAACTGGTCCCTAACCGTGTACCAAATTTGAGCGCAATCGGATCAGCCGTTCTCGAGATCTGGAATCGACCCCTGCACGTGCGCACGTGCAGCAGCACCCCAACTCTGGCACATGGATATGCAGTGCCTAGTGGGTGCCTACCTACATGCCAACTTTCAGCGCAATCGGCCCAGTAGTTACCGAGATATTGCAACAATTACAAAACTGACACCTCTTCGTTTTGCACGTGGCACGTGCATAAGGGGTCACCCACATGCATCGGGAATAGTCCAATACTTGGTAGAAGGAATGAAGCTACCCTACAAAAATTACCGCATGTAAATCGGTCAAGTGGTTGCTGAGATATAAGCCTCGCAAAAGCGTCCGCACGGCCGGCCGGCCGGCCGGCCGCTCATACTCAGAAATTTCCGTTAACCAGTATAGCGCCTTTTGGGGCGACTAGCGGAGCGAGCGAGGGGGTGAGGGTGAGTCTTGCACGTGCGAAATTTCGAGGGGGTACCTCCAACTGACTTGTGCACGGCACCCTACTGACCGGTTTCTAGCGATGTGCCAAATTTGAGCACTATCGGCCAAGCCGTTCTCGAGATCTGGGAGCGGCACCCTGCACGTGCGCACGTGCTAAATGGGTCCCAACTGACTTGTGCACGGCACCCTACTAACTGGTCCCTAACCGTGTACCAAATTTGAGCGCCATCGGTCCAGCCGTTCTCGAGATCTGGAAACGACCCCTGCACGTGCGCACGTGCAGCAGCACCCCAACTCTGGCACATGGATATGCAGTGCCTAGTGGGTGCCTACCTACATGCCAAGTTTCAGCGCAATCGGCCAAGTAGTTACCGAGATATTGCAACAATTACAAAACTGACACCTCTTCGTTTTGCACGTGGCACGTGCATAAGGGGTCACCCACATGCATCGGGAATAGTCCAATACTTGGTAGAAGGAATGAAGCTACCCTACAAAAATTACCGCGTGTAAATCGGTCAAGTGGTTGCTGAGATATAAGCCTCGCAAAAGCGTCCGCACGGCCGGCCGCCCATACTCAGAAATTTCCGTTAACGTTGGCGTCGCCGGCGCCTGCGTGGTGTGATGAGCCTGAACTGAGGGGCCGGACCTATCCGTCTTTTACCTCGGTATCCGGGAGGATTTGGCGTAGTGTGGCCTCGACCTCCGCCAGCTCCTATTGCGTGTGTTCCAGCTCTCCCTAGCTGAAAGACGCCGGAGTTGACGGAAGGAGACAAAGGAAAAATAAGAAAGAAGAAAGAGAAAAAAAAACGAAAACATGAGCGGCCGCCGTGTGGCGTGCCACCCACGCACTGAGGGCGCCCGGCGCAGTGTCCTCGCCAGGCCGGGCGGGCTGTGTTTGCTTACCCGACCGCTGCACACAGCCGCTATCCGGGTTCAGAAGTGGCCAATACCCTAATTTTCGACAAATTTTAAAGCGTGATTTTCTCACATTTTCTGGTCGTAAATTGATCAGACTGTATAAAATATCATCCAGAAAAAATATTACTCATTCTGGCACAGATTGGTGGGCTCCCAAAGTACACCGTTTTGTTTTGCTCCGTGAGACCGAACTTATGCTGCGATTTTCATGTAAATGTTGACGAGTCTCCTGTCATATTCTTTGCTTGAAAATGCGTAAGTAAGATATCAGCTGAAAGGGGAAAATGTGCGGAATCCATTGGTAACAATAGTGCATCTAAAAAACTTCCCACTCAGTTATTGTAAGCTAATTGTTGCACACTTGCACAAAGCAGAAGGGCTTGAGGATTTCAATATTTACATAGGCCTACCAAAAAACGCACAGCGTGCTTCACATCGAGACAACATCCATAACATATACCGTACAATTGTGATTCATTTGCTGAAAAAATTAGGTCGGCATCACACTGCCGGCAAAAGTTATTGCAGTTCTAGTGACGCTAGGTCGCCGCCCGGCCGACCCCGGTCAGGTCGGCCGGGCGGCGGCCGTGCAGCTGACGTCCGTGCGGTTCGGCAGCTGACCAATCAGCTGCGAGAGAGGAGCGCGGTCCGTCTAACCGCCCCCGGCAGTTGTTTGTGCTGAGGGGTGCTCGACGCTCGTGTCGATTGCATTTGTTGGTTGTCGATTGTCGATTGACTTGTGGGTATACTTTCTGGTAACCAATAAATGTACGTCGTCTTAACTGAATGTAGTCTGATCAAATTCAATAAAGCAAAAAGACATCCAGCCAACAGAACATCGTAAGAATGTCCGATATGATTGATAACATTCATAGTTTTGGGGAGCAGCCATCGACCAGAATGAACCTTATTTGCTTTTGTATGTAACATTTGCATTGCTTTTGGAAAGTTTCAGTCAGATATCTTCAGAAATGGCAATGTTATCGGCTTTTGCATTTTACCGTAGTCGGTTAATCACAATTTTCGATATTGTTAAGGCAATTTCAGTACGTTCTTGACATCGAAAACCAAAACGAATAGCATCATCGTGTTCCAGAGCTCAAATTGCATCCGATGCACATCTTTTTTGTTGAGAATGTTCAACTTCAAAATTTGACCTTTTTGACCTCGCCGTGACCTGACCTTCATTTGTCGAATGGAAATAGTTTCGAATCGGACGACCCAG